CCCCCACCCCACCCATGACTCCTGCAGGCTCTCAGGTGAAAGTGAAACTTAAACTGTCTGCTGAGCTCTCAACATTAGCTCCGCACTGAAATGGGCGGGACAGAAGCAGAAGGTGGTTCTTAAAGAGACAGAGGCCAATTTCAAGGCGTTTAGAAGAGGAAGTGATGAGAAGATAAGTTTATTTTCTATTTAAACATAAAAACATTTTAATAACTAAAGGTGACATAGATACTTTATTATGGTATAGTATTTAAATATATGCCTGAGAAACACGTAATATTGGTCCTTTAAGACTGAGGTTTGAACTGAGTTCATCTTAGGGTTAGTTATGATGATGATGATGGTTCATTAAACTGCTTTATCCTTCAAATACAAAATGTCAAAGAAAACATTTTTATATTTAAGAAACTCAGCATAACACACATGATTTTAACCATTTGTCACAGAGTTTCTTCTGAACTTGGTTCAGGCAAAGTGAAACAGGAAGTGACATCAAAGGGGAACTCAGTTTTTTTCTTTATTGATTTTATTAATTTTATTCCTCTGACTCTTTATCGTCTCTGTGGTGTGACTCAAAACAGTCTAACATCAGAATCCTCTCCACACTTTGTGTTGTTAGTTGTAGCAGCGCTGTGTCCACATGCAGACATTCCTCTGTGACATCACTTCCTGTCACTGGAACTTATGAATATCTGAACACCTGTTCATCTCAGCAGCCTGTTTGTTTTTTAATTTCTTTGCTTTATGATTTCAGTTTTATTTTTGCAAAAATGCACAGATCTTTACTATTTAAATGTGATGTGACAGGCCGTGTGCAGGATGAGGGTCAGGTTACATTAATGAATGGAAGTCAGTGTTTGGATGTGTGCTTCTCACTGGTATATGTGGCTCTGCAAAGTCCTTGGTGAATAAGTTGGGGTTGTTGTTGATAATGTATTTGGCTGCAGCTCTGCCAGACTCCAGTGAGTAAGAATAAGTTTTCTGCAGGGAAACAAAAGACACACAGCAGTCACTGTAACACAGCAGAGCCCCAGGGAGGGTCCTCCTCACTTAGCTCTCTGTGGGGTGAAAACGTACGGCCTCAGAAAAGTTCCTGGGAGACAGGAACGAATCATCCTGGAACCTGTAGGCACAAACTGTAGGATCCTAAAGGGAAGCACAAAGACAGTCAATCACAAAGATTCAGTCAAAGCTGCAGATGGAGAAGAAACAAGAGTCTCACTCTGCTGACGGTTGATGCCAGTGCCTGCAGCACCGCCTCTTTGCTCCTGTTAGTTTAAAAAAAAACAACAGAATAAAGCGTGTCGTTAGAATCAATCCTTACACTAACAGATGTGTAAGCAGCATGTGAACAGGAGCAGGTGTCAGTTTGTTACCAAACACCTAAAATCAACACAAACCATGTTTTCTTCATGGGGATGACGACTGACTCTGCTGCTTCTGGAACACAACAGAGCAAAAGGTTGGTTTTACTGTCAGCACATGAGCAGGATCATTAAATCACATCAGCTTCAATGGAATCTGTCACAACGCTAAATTAAATACGCAGATAAATAAACACAAGCAAGTCTGTGTTAACAAAATATCTCCTGTTAAAGAAACACTCAGGAAGTAATCATTTGATGTACATCTACAACTTGTTAATATTTGGAGACAATCCAATTCAAAATGGCCGCCACAGCCACCTGACAGAATAACTACAACTCAGTCAGTTTTACAGATGTTGAACTACAGTTTGATGTAGCAGGAAGTCATTCAACACATCTGTCTTAAAACTAAAACAGATCAACCATGAAACGAGCACAGTTTGACCTTCAACAAGTGTTTATACACACTGATGTTTACATTTGATGTTTGTTAACGAACTTTATACACTCTGATATTAACATTTGATGTTTGTTAACGAGCTTTATACACTCTGATATTAACATTTGATGTTTGTTAACGAGCTTTATACACTCTGATATTTACATTTGATGTTTGTTAACGAGCTTTATACACTCTGATATTTACATTTGATG